AAAAAAAAAAAAAAAAAATGGATATAATGGTGTAACTCTGAACTAGGAAAGTAGCAGTGGAGATGGAGAGAGAGGAACCATGGATTTGAGGTATATGTATAAGGCAGAACTGGTGGGACATAGGGACTAAAGGATGCAGGAGATAAATACAATAAAGGTGCCATGGATCACTTTCCAGATCTTCGTCTGGCACAAGGGGATGGATAGAAGTATCATTCAGTGGCCACAGGGAACCCAGAGAAGAACTGTTTGGGGAAAGCTGCATGGGGGAGGTGATGACTTCTCTTTCAGACGTGTCAAATTCGAGATGTCTATGAGATTTCCCTGTGGATATTCTGACTAGGTGATTGTTCTGCCAGTCTTGAAGCTCAGAAGGGTCTATACTGGAAATTCAGATTTGGGAGAGCCAGTGGATGGGTAGTACATTAAGTTATGGGGGCAGATGAGTTTGCTCAAGGACAGAGTGTTAATTGAGAAAAGGATGGGCTTCTGAAGAATATTCACATTTAAGAGATGAGTAGAAAAAAAAAGAAACCTTGAAGAAGGCTAAAATGCAATAGCCAGATTGTGGTGGGCTGAAAAATTTGTGGGTTAGGCTGGGCACGGTGGTTCATGCCTGCAATCTTAGCACTTTGGAAGGCTGAGGTAGGCGAATTGCTTACGTGTCCGAATTCAAGACCAGCATGGGCCATATGGCAAAACCCCGTCTCTACAAAAAATACACACACACACACAAAATTAGACAGGCGTGGTGCTGTGCACCTGTAGTCCCAGCTACTTGGAGGGCTGAGGCAGGAAGATCACTTGAGCCCAGGAGGTCGAGGCTGCAATGAACAGAGATCACGCCACTGCACTCCAGCCTGGGTGACAAAGTGAGAATCTGTCTCAAAAAGAAAGAAAATTAGTGAGTCAGAGGGTCTTGTAGAGAATGGGGAGGTGTGCCCTTAACCCTTAGTGTCCTAAACCTTGGCAACACTGGGGGATCCCTGAACACTGCAAAATCCTATAAGGCTCTGAGATTCCAAAGCATTGACTCAGATACCTGCCTCATGCAAAGCCCTATATTCTAGAGCAGCTTCCCTTTCCTCTGTGGCAGACCCTTGTGCCCCTAACAGATTGCCCAGAGAATTTCAGGGCTCCCTCTCAGTCCTAGAACCCTTGCTCCGGAGTGCTCCCTCATCATCTGAGAGGCTGATGATGGGGGCATCTATTAAGAGACTGGACAGGAAATGTCTGGGCATGTTACACATGCAGAAGGCCTTAGGCTAGGCTACAGAGGGGGATTTGGGCATGGCTGGGAGGATCTGAACTCTCAGACTATGGACAGAAGGCTTTACTGCCTACCCTCATCTGCCCTGGAGAATATTTTCACCATGGGCAGGGGGATTCAGGGCTAGGCCACTAGCCTGGAGATTCAAGATGCCTCTAACAAGCTGGAGTCCAAGGCTACATTCTAGAATCTGTTCCTCCTGATGCAATCTGCAGTTTGGCCTCAGTCTGCAATTGAGGGGCCCTATGGCACTGTTGCTTGGCAATGTATTTAACAGCAGGCCTTGGAGACTAGCATTTGAGTTAACACAGTCACCACAACCACCACTGCCATCATCACCTTCCCGGAAGGCAGCCACCTGTCTGGCTCCTGGCTTTGTCCAGATGCCAACCTAGGGCATGTGCCTACGCAGGAGGTGATGACATTTTGGCTCCACATTCAAACTTTTTTTTTTCCCTTTCTCATGTGTTATTTTTAAAGATAACAAAGGTCAAAAGGCATCCAGCATTTTCTGGTTTCTCATAAGCTTCTGGTCAATATTTAATCTGGTTTATGGACTTTTTTAGGTCTTCTACATGCCTTCTTGAGCCTGCTTGTGGCCACCCACAGACACTTGTAAGGAGGAGAGAAGTCGACCTGGCAGAGAGACTCTGAAATGAGGGATTAGAGGCATCCAGGAGCAAGAGCTTCAGTCTGAAGACAAGGGAGCAGTCCCTGAAGACGGTTCTACTGTGAGGTCAGCCATGGCCTCTCTTGGCCTCCAACTTGTGGGCTACATCCTAGGCCTTCTGGGGCTTTTGGGCACACTTGTTGCCATGCTGCTCCCCAGCTGGAGAACAAGTTCTTATGTCGGTGCCAGCATTGTGACAGCAGTCGGCTTTTCCAAGGGCCTCTGGATGGAGTGTGCCACACACAGCACAGGCATCACCCAGTGTGACATCTATAGCACACTTCTGGGCTTGCCCGCCGACATCCAGGCTGCCCAGGCCATGATGGTGACATCCAGTGCAATCTCCTCCGTGGCCTGCATTATCTCTGTGGTGGGCATGAGATGCACAGTCTTCTGCCAGGAATCCCAAGCCAAAGACAGAGTGGCAGTAGCAGGTGGAGTCTTTTTCATCCTTGGAGGCCTCCTGGGCTTCATTCCTGTTGCTTGGAATCTTCATGGGATCCTGCGGGACTTCTACTCACCACTGGTGCCTGACAGCATGAAATTTGAGATTGGAGAGGCTCTTTACTTGGGCATTATTTCTTCCCTGTTCTCCCTGATAGCTGGAGTCATCCTCTGCTTTTCCTGCTTATCCCAGAGAAATCGCTCCAACTACTACGATGCCTACCAAGCCCAACCTCTTGCCACGAGGAGTTCTCCAAGACCTGGTCAACAACCTCCCAAAGTCAAGAGTGAGTTCAATTCCTACAGCCTGACAGGGTATGTGTGAAGAACCAGGGGCCAGAGATGAGGGGTGGCTGGGTCTGTGAAAAACAGTGGACAGCACCCTGAGAACCACAGGTGAGGGACATTACCACTGGATCATCAGAAGGTGCTGCTGAGGACAAACTGACTTTGGGCATTGGATTGAGCAAAGGCAGAAATGGGGGCTAGTGTAACAGCATGCAGGATGAATTGCCAAAAATGCTCGCCATGCCAACCTTTCTGTTTTCCTCACCTTGCTGCCCCCCTTTCCTGAGTCCCCAACCCTCAACTTGAAACCCCATTCCCCTACTTTGAGCCAGGCCCCAGATGATCCCTTTGCCCTTTGGTTTACCTGGGACTCCATCCCCACACACACTAATCACATCTCACAGACTGACCCTCTACGATCAAAGACCCTCTCTCTGGCTGAGTTGGCTCTTAGGTCATTGCTGGGGACGGGAAGGAGAGGCAGTGGCTTTTGTGGACATTGCTCTAACCTACTTATCAAGCCTCCCTCCAAAGAAACAGACTGGTCCTGAAACCTCCATCCCACTCTTGTTATGACTCCACAGTGTCCAGACTAATTGTGCATGAACTGAAATAAGGCCATCCCACGGTATCCAGGGAACAGAAAGCAGGATATAGGATGGGAGGATGGGAAGGCAGCC